AAACGAAATAAACATTTGAAATATATGAGTTTGTATGTAATGTATGAATATAATATACAAGTTTCACTTTTTTAAATGGAATTACTGAAATAAATCTACTTTTTCTTGATATTCTAATTTTATGACCAGCACCTGTATGTGGAGGGGGGTGAAACATTTCCCGACGGGTTGCGACAAGAAGGGGTGGGAGATAAAGCTGGAAAAAAAAGATGCATTTTTGTCGCAAAACTGCAATAATGAGAGCAGATTTCAGCAGTTTAGATGGAGTATGTTAAAGATGACTTCAGCCAAATGGTCTATGAGTTTGATCATTCCCAGAGATTTTACCAGAAACTGACTATGAACAAAGGAAACTGTGGAATATTTAATGTGAAACAAGAGCTAAAGCAGATTTTAACACTAATGTCACATTCATTGTACTTTATTTTAAATGGACAGAAAGTTGTCAGAACACCACCTGTAACTTCATTTATTCAACTCTGTTTGTAAATTAGTTTTTAAATAAACAGTCAAAATATTGGCTAGCTTGGTGTTACTTCTGAATTGTACGTGTGTGTTTGTGTGTATGTATGTATGTGCATTGTGAAAGGAAGTGGTAGTTTTTTTATCAACTGGAAATATTAGTAAAACATCTTTTTTTTTCTTTGTAATGTAAATGAACCTAAAAAGCTGAAAAAAATAAACACAAATAAACCTAACTTTGGTTGAAATCAGTTTCCAGCACATTATAACACAACTGTTCATCTGAAATAGGAATCAGTGAATTGTGATTAAAAAAACAACTTTTTTTCTCAGTTTTAGGCTTTCTTCATTCAGAAGATGGAAAAACAAACAAAGAAAAAAAATCTGGCATATTTCAGAACAGAATAATTTCTTTGCAGTGTTTCAAAACCTTTTGCTCTCTGCAGAGATTTGATTGATGGGATGCTCGAAAACGTTTTAGTCACATCCGTTTGAAATAAATACATTTTTGAATATCTAAAATGTTAAAGATATATTCTGACACCAAAGCCTGATTTTCTTTAGGGGTTTTATGTGACACTAAACAAACACCATCAGAGGAGAACACACCTCTGCAGTCAGTGGATTCCTTCTAATGGATTATGGCAGGGATTTCATATTAAATTTTAGTCTTTTATTGATTTATTTTAAATTTAACAGTTAAAATAAATTATAACAGAAGTGTGAATTCCACACAGATTATGATTTGATTATACAACCTTAATTCATAACAAGTGTGGATTTTTTTTATATATTTCAGATATCCTGACATACAGACATTAATCTATAATACATAGAATAGTCTGTAGTATAGCTGCAATAAGGTTTGATTGTATTGTTAGAAAAGCCTGCCATACAAAGTTTAACTAATTGCAACCTGGCTCAGTGGGCCGCGACATAAAATAAAAACTGAACCCAACATAAAAAATTGGCATTTTTATTTAAAATCAGCCAAGAATCTCTCAGCAAACCATCACAACCAGTCAACCATCAGCCCATGTGGTGACCCTGTGTCAATACACCAGCCTGGCAAACAGCCAGAAACTTCAGTGGTAATCTGCCTTAGGCCAACTCCACATCTTAAATCCACACCTTCACAGGTGAAGCCAATCAAACAACGCTGAACTGTTGCAGCACCAGTGATGGACCAGCACCAATGTACCAGGCCTGGACCAGTGAAGCTGCAGACAGGTGTCACAGAGTGTAAAAAAGGCCTTCCTTAATAACAAAAATGTTTGTTTTTTTATGTTGGAACAGCCTGCCATACAACAGAAATGAGTTTTAAATATGTGTTAGAAAAGTCTGCCATAATAAGACTTATATACTGAAGTTTGATTATATGTTAGACCAGCCTGCCTTAAAAACAGGCATATGGTTTGATCAAATGTTAGAAAGGTCTGCCATAAAAGCAGGGATGTAATTTGATTGTATGTCAGAACAACCTGCCAATGATGTTTGATTATGTGTTAGAAAGACTTGTCATAATGACAGGGATATAGTTTGATTATATGTCATAACAGCCTGCCTTACTAACTGGAACGTGGTTTGATTTTATGATTGAGCATTCTGCCCTAATAACAGGCATATGGTTTGATTATATGTCAGAAAAGTCTGCCGTAACAACGGAGCCGTGTTTAAATTACATGTTGGAACAATCTGCTGTATTAAGTAATAACAGGGACGTGATTTTATTATAAATCAGAACGGCCTGCCTTAAAAGCAACTGTAGCTGTTTTACATCCTCATGAGTGTGCATCTGTCGGATGCATATGTCACTGCCCCGCACCAAGTGCTGTCCCAATTCGAAGGCTCCTCCTTATGCGGCTGAGGAATGCAGTCCACAAAATCCCAAAACATCAAGGATGCATTTGGGTGTCCTTCCCTGCCGAGGATATCCCAGGATTCAATGCACTGCACTTACGTCTGTAGTCATGAAAACTTTTGAACGTTTGATTTTATCCCACCTCATGTCTATCTGCAACCCCCCTTTTGGACCCTCTGCAGTTTGTCTACAGAGCCTACAGGTTTGTAGATGATACCATGAAACCTGGCTCTCCACTTCATCCTGCAGCATCTGGATTCACCAGGAACCTATGCTAGGATCCTGTTTGTGGACTTCAGCTCTGCATTCAACTCCATCGTTCCTGCTCTGCTCCAGGACAAGCTTTCATAGCTCCATGTACCAGACTCCACCTGCAGGTGGATCACAGATTTCCTGACAGACCGGAGTCAGCGCGTGTGGCCGGGGAAAGCTGTCTCAGACACACAGACTATAAGCACAGGATCTCCACAGGGCTGTGTTCTCGCCCCTCTGCTCTTCTCTCTGTACACGAATTGTTGCACCTCCAGCCATGATTCTGTAAAACTTATTAAGTTTGCGGATGACACCACCCTCATCGGGCTCATCTCAGATGGTGAAGAGTCTGCCTACAGGTGGGAGGTGGACCGGCTGGTGACCTGGTGCAGCAGCAACAACCAGGAGCTCAACGCCCAGAAAACAGTGGAGATGATTGTGGACTTCAGAAAGGCCACAGCCCCTCTGCCCCTCCTCACCCTTAACGATACTCCCATCACCACTGTATCCTGTGAGGCGAGCAGGTGGGATCACAGCTGACCCTTCTCACCCTGCAGCCTGTTCATACCACTCCCCTCAGGCAGAAGGTTTCGGTCCATTAGGACCAGAACATCCCACCATACAGTTTCTTCCCCTCTGCTATCAAACTCTTGAACATTTAGAATCACGTGACTCTAAAACTCTGCCTTGGCCACTTTATCACTGGTTTCTTAAACAGCACAACGCTGAATATATTGTTTTTCTGGTCACTTTTATCATTGGATCTAACTGCACTACTCCAAATATACTGTCTGCTCCGAATACTGTATTGCACTGGTGTACATA